GATGCGTCGCCGAGTAATTTTTCAACAATGAAGCTGCTAAAAGTTCAAAGAGTATATCCCCCACTCCCCAGGAACTACAGCAGTCAATGTGGCTTCCGCATCGCAACCGATTCCGCCATTTGCAGATTGTGATGCAGCTGTACATTCTCATCCGACGAACCGGAAAACAAAAAGTTATCATAAAAATCTGTAATAATTCCTGCGGCAGCGTATCGATAATTAATACTCACATTCCAAAATTCATGCAGATCCGTTAAGTATTGAAGGAATTATGAGTGTTCCAGTTGCTTAAAAATACGTTTATTGGGTTTAATTGAAAATAATTCATGTAAAAATCTGTAATAATTCCTGCGGCAGCGTATCGATAGTTAATACTAACATTCCAAAATTCATATAGATCCGTTAAGTATTGAAGGAATTATGAGTGTCCCAGTTGCTTGAAAAATACGTTTATTGGTTTTAATTAAAAAATAATTCATGCAAAAATCTGTAATAATTATTGCGGCAGCGTATCGATAGTTAATAGTCACATTCCAAAATTCATAAGATCCGTTAAGTATTGAAGGAATTATGAGTGTCCCAGTTGCTTAAAACATACTTTTATTGGTTATAATTAAAAAATAATTCATGTAAAAATCTGTAATAATTGCTGCGGTAGCGTATCGATAATTAATACACGCATTCCAAAATTTATGAAGGTCCGTTAAATATTGAAGGAATTATGAGTGTCCCAGTTGCGCGAGTCCGCAGGCGGGGCCTATACTTTTAAACAAAGTTAAGATACTTTCAAACAAAGTTAAGGGATCGCAAGTTCATCAGCCAATCATTGACGTCCTTTCAAGCCAAATCCACCAATCATAGACAAGAAAATAGAGCGTAAGTACTTACGTTCACTTAGCGAGTTTTGAAAGTATGGCCCCGGCGGTCCGTAGAATTGTCGGTTGAGTGAAACTTTAGCACAGAGCTGGGATCGAACCCACGACTCTCTGCGCCAATCTTGCTACTCTGCTGAACTTTAATTAACTACTGGGCCACCCTGCCTGGTACGTCATGACAGTGAGACACCGCTTGCCCTCACAAAAACACCATTGTAATGTCAACTGGTTTCCTGCACAAAACTCATAGACAACAGCGTTGAAATTTCCCTGAAAAAACCTGTAGCGACCATGTTTATATATTTCCTCCATTTACCCCCGCAACTCGCTTTCTAGGAACGTTGCCAGCCTAGTGAATTCTAGCCGAGTTACCCATCAACTCCAACTCAATATTATTATTCACGTCATTGCCTAAGACATCACAATTAGTTATCAACTTCAATTGGAATACTGTTAAATATGAATTAGCCATATATTTATAATATTAGCACTGACCTAAGACATTGCAATATCAAGTAACTCCAGTAGTCATAATCATTTACACATCTGTAATACAGCGCGTAATCTGGTCTCCAGACCTAGTTCCAGTAAATGAGGAGAACTCCTACTGTGTTTTATTCACCAACACGAAAGACAATTGTAAGACGCTAGCGCAGTCTGGTCTCTGACTTACACGCCTCAGCCGAAACACAGGGCGTTTGGTACAACCAAACGTTTGGCATGAGTCACAGACCTTAAGGGGCTCAATACCGCGCTGCTAGCATTCCCACGTCTTAAGGCCCGTTCACACTAGGGGCAAAACACGAGAGTCAAGTGCCTCAAAGCGCAGGCAGAGGCGCTTTGTAGCCTCTGCATGCGCTTCTTGACCGATTGACGAGCTAGCGATTGACAGGGGGCATGCCTCATTCAACACAAGCGCGGCGCTTAGTAGATAGCTATTAAAGAATTGATATCACTTGTATGCTTAAATCGCAAATTAACTAGGAATTTAAATTGAATTAAAAAATTGAATCAAATTAAAAATCTAAATTAATTAATTAAATAAATTCAATTCGTTCTATGGTTTCAATGTATTAATTTATGATTCTAGATTCTACGAACTGACTATGGAGCTGGTCTCCGAAACGTTTTCTATAAANTTGCCTAATAACTAGGCACTTCAAGTGACATGACAATGAAAAATAAAATTCTTTTAGGGTTTTAAACCCCAAATATTAATTGACTGAAAATTAAGGCCTCTTCATTAATTTTCAAAACAATTAATTATTTTCAACCTAATTAAAGAAATACTGACAAATACTGAATGTCTGAATCAAAAGTTTATCTCAATTATATAAATTTACACTAATTCCATACAAGACCAGTTCAGAAATAAGTAATTTCGCACGCATAAATACTCGAGCCTTCGGAGGAAGCATAATTAAATCAAAATATGTTACTTATACCTTTCAAATTTTACCGAAACTCATCATATCACGCCAAATATGCCGTAATCACCAAAATTTTAGCTTCGTGCTTCTAGAACAATTCTCTTTAAATTATGGACTGCGAAAATTCTCCGCAATGCAAGATCGATTAATATCTCGCCACACATGTCTCTCTCATGCTGCGTGACCTTGTCAGTCGTCACGCCGACTCACGCGTTATGTAATAAAGCAAAGAACTAAAGCAGAGACCACAGGCACTGACAGGCAGAGAGGTGCTTATGTCACCACAAGTCGTAAATAAAATTTGAACAACTAAACGACGCTTTATGAAATTACGCCCAAGAGGCCCAACGGCCATAGTGGCAAAGCAGAGAGTTTTTTAGACTCTTCCTCAAGTTAATTTTTGAGTTCTATGACTATAAGTATACCAGTAAAGTATCTTGGATACCAGACTTATCATACATAAGAAATCTGTTAAAATCTGGAGTAAATGAGGAAATTAAAAATGAGCTGATTCTAAAAAATCACTGGTTTGCCACTATGGCCCAACCCGCTTGGGCGTAATATTCGGACCTAGCATAAGCCTATTCGGATTTCAGGCTGTTGTACTTCATTAGCAAATAATGAAATATAGTACAATGTTCTGAATGTAGTTGAGAGTTTGGTAACATAATACTAATATTTAATGTAAAGCCTTGCCGCCGATGATGGCGATAGCCAATCTATCATTCACATTCAGATTGACACTAGCACTACCCTACAATTGTAGGCTACCTAGGTAGGTATGTGCAACAGTGCAAAAAAAAATTTTTTCCTTTGATCGTAATGAAAATTACACCACTGAAAAGAGAAAATTTTTTAGAAAATTATCATATAAGTATGAGTGAAGTAGGTTGAAAAATGAAAAAGATATGAATTTTTTCCTTTTTTCAATTTCACCCCAAAAATGGACCAACTTCTGTCACTTTTTTTGGAAAAACTATCATTTGTAGGTTTCCTATGAGCCAATTTCAAAGTTTTTAGTACCATTGGAAAGCTCATGTTGTAGACTATCTATTCTAACTAGAATAAAACATTTTGGTTGAGACTTAGACTGCAGGTGGGTGGGGGAAATGGGTGCAACTGCTAGATATGAATGCTATAACTTAACTTAAAGGCAGAATTGGATGGAATAAATTTCAGTTTCATGGCCTTGGCACCTTAATTGAGCTTAAAAATATGAAATTAAATAGAATA